TGGGACCGCAATGTGCAACAGGATCGCTATTATAAGGTTGGAGGCCATCGCTATTAGGGGAGGCCATTGCGAAGCACCTGGTGCGTCGGCTTTGTTTCAGGGGCCTCTCCCACAGGAACAGGGTTGGACAGTCTTCCGTGCCTTGCGAAAGGCCGATGCCCTTTGCTCCTAGTAGCGTCCTTAAGCATTGAGATTTCACATTTTCTCACTGGGCCTTGGGCCGAAGGTCGCTGTCCCAGAATTCTAGGCTTCCAGAGAATCACTGCCGCTTTCAAATCTGAATCTCCATCTGGCTTGGCAGCGTTGCCGCCGATGTCCAAGAGATTGCGTATTAGCAAGGTACAAAGAGTTTGAAAGCCATTTCCAAAGACGCAGAAGAACCCTTCGTGTAGGCCAAACGGTTTTTAGGTAGGTTCTATCAATCAAGACTCCGTAAAATACCTAGGAATCAGCCCTAGGTATCAAATCAGGCTGCGGCAGTTTCCTGAAACACCCTTCACTACCCTTTTATGCGTGTGCATATAGTAGCTTCTTAGTAGTGACTTGAGCTTTTGTATTTTACTACCAACAAGCCGTTCACCTTTCGAAAAGAAAGCTTTCTTATTGCAGGTGAAGAAGATGGTGAAGGCCAGGTGCTTATCTTGGAAGGCGACGTGACATTTTGAGTGCCAGGCAGAGGAGGGCGAGGTGCGAAAGGAGGAGCGTTCTTTGAGACCTAATAGCGATGGCCTCCAACCTAAAGGCAATGGCCGTGTTCTTGGACGTGCGAGATTGGTGCAGGACACAATGACCAGGAGCGGCAGGAGCGGCAGGAGCGGCAGGAGCGACAGGAGCGGCATGAGCGGCATGAGCGGCATGAGCGACACGAACGACATGAACGACATGAACGACCAGAGCGCCGTGGCCGCGCAGCAGAAGGCTGCTCTGACATGAGTTTTGCGACTTACGAGCAAGACTTGACTCAGAGCAATTATGCTATTCGTCACGCTGTGCAACATATAGTTTGCTATTAGGTTGGAGGCCATCGCTATTAAGTGTCTCTAAGAATCTATGAGCCAAATGAATAGTGCGAGCGTGAACTATCCTGCGTCCTGTCGGTAGTAGCTACTTGTTAGCTACTCTTCTGCTAGCTACTAGCTACCTTTAGCTCCTACCTCCCTCCCTCTACGGCCTACCCCCCGGGCTTTAAAAAGTCTAAAAGACATGTTTGCTATCAGGAGTAACAAGGTGCCTTACTACTAGTAGCTTATTACTAAGGCACCTTGATAATAGTAGCAAGGACGCTAGGTTTTTTCTGTTTGCGCCATGAAAGCGAAGCCAAGTAATTAGTATGTCTCATCAAATTTATCCAGGCCCTGGCTTAAGCTCGGAAGATCATCCCCGACCATGTCTTCTCCAAGCAGGAGATTCTGAGAGAGGACGGGGACTCAGAGCACGAAAGGTCTGGTATGCATCCTCCTCCTCCTCCTCCTTCATGAGGTTTAGGGGGCTTTCAGGCACATCAAACCGTACAAACCTGTGTTTGTAGGTGGATGTATCATTTTACATGAGTTAAAACCAACAAGCACTTGGGGCAGGGCAGTGGCCTTCACAGCTTCCTGTGCCGCCATTTGCGCCAGCTTCTCGAGAAGGCTCTCCACCGCACCTCGCGAACCTTGAAAAACACATGGCATGCGTACATGCCATGAATCATGCGTGACACATTGTGGTCGCAAGAGGTGCGCTAGTTGAATCAGACACTCAAAGACACTCGAGGATACTCATAGTGTGCTTGAGTGTCCTTGAGTGGCTGGTCTGTGGTTTGCTTGTGAGTGTCCTTGAGTGTGCAGACTGCTGAAGAAGAAGGAGGAGGAGAAGAAGAGGAAGAGGAAGAGGAAGAGGAAGAGCAACAGGAAGAGGAAGAGGAAGAGGAAGAGGAAGAAGAGGTTTCGAGAGGAGGCAGACGAAAGAAGATGAAGAGCTCGTAAGTAGAGGAAAGACATACTGGTAAATGGGAGAGATGCATCAGAAGGAAAGAGCTACAGTCAATAATAAGAAGAGGAAGGCAATAGAAAAGAAAAACATCAATAAAAAAGAAAACAAAGACCCAAGAAACAAAAGATGTTTTAACACGCAGCAGAAGAACAAGGGCTAAAGGAAGGGGAAGGCTTTGAAAAGGGGTATTATTAATATGTGTGAAAGTTGAGTTTGCTCTTCGGTGTTGGGCAGGCGGAGGAACATGGTTGTTCATGTTCGCTTGGATCAAGGCCTGAAGCCATTTCGTGCTGCGCCTTAGGTGAAAACGGCGCGCTGGCAGACGCTCTTGCTAGTGCGTCTACAGTGGCACCGGAGCCTATCTCGATCTGGGCATTGCACTCCGCCGTTGCTTGCTTTGCTTCGCCTCGCTTTGCCTCGTTTCTCCTCGTCTTCGTGGCCTTCAAGCTAAGCTTCTGGGCTGCTCCACACGACCTCGAGCCAGACGCTCTGGACTTCGTGGTCGGTGCCAACCTTTTGAGAATAACTAGATTCTCTTGTTTGTGGACACCTTTTTCTTGAACCACTTCACTGTGCCCTTGCCGCCGAGCAGTGCCTTGTTGGAGTGACCTTTGAGGGTACATAGACCCACCTTTTACTTTGGGCCCTACCATTGTTGCGCAACTTCACTTTCGGTCTAAGACCACCTTTTCTTTGGAGAGCTTCAGAACTTGCGGAGCTCCTTGAACACCTTGCAGCAGCCTCACTTTTGTTTTTGGCCAATTTGGCCGTGAAGATGACTTCAGCCGAAGAATCCGGCACCAGCTCTTGGTACCGGGTGCCGACGTGGTCGGGCAACCCGGCGGAATGGCGACAGTTCCGCCGGGAGATGAACTGGTGGATGGCTTCGCTGGATGAAGAATCCTGCAAGAAGTTCAATGTTGCCGCCCGATGGGCACTTAGACAATATGGTGTGGTCAGGGCTCGTTGTGAAGAATTCGATCCCCAGGATCTTGAAGGGACCAAGGAAGAAGCCATGACCGATCCTGACACCGGCGACAAGGTGATTCGGGTTGCTGCAGACCCTTTTGCTGGCCTCAAGAAACTCATGACTGCCTTGGAGGCCACGGTTGGGAAGACAGCTTTGGATAGAAAGGGAGAACTCCGATCCCTTTACTATCAAGAAATCAAACGCAGCCCTGGAGAGAGAATCTCAGCATTTTGCACGAGATTCCGGACACTTGCAGCTGAGCTCAAACGGGAAGGCATAGTGACGCCGGAGGAGGAGTTAGGCTGGATGTTGAAAGAACGTTTGGGACTGGATGCAATCAGGAAGCAGTTGCTGGAGACAGCATTGGCAGGTCGGGAGAACTATGATGTGGTCGAATCAGAATGCCTTCGTCTGTTTCGAGATTTGCACTCCTCCGACCCTTTGAACAAGAGCAGACCTTTTGATAAGGCACCACTACTCCAGCGTTTCCTACAGTCCCATGACAGACACAGCTCCTCTTCGTCCTACAGGCCTTCGACTACAGCCAGCTCGACGGCTCCCTCTTCTCGCTCCTTCCGGACTCAGAGCTCTGGTTCCAGCCGGCCACCTTTCAAGCGTTTTGGCCAGCAGCCTCAACCTCGACAAGCCTTGATTGCCGAGGCCCCTGAAGAGGAAGGCCAGATGGAGGCGGAAGATGAAGAGCTGATTCCAGACGATGATGGTCAGGGTTACTCTCCTGAGAACCTGACGATCGAAGAAGTCCTCCAGACCGAAGCTGAGCTTCTTGCCCAAGAGCTGCAGGAGCTCGAGACTGAAGGTTGCGACCCTCGAGTGCTTGAAGATTTGGAGAGCGGCATGGAACAGGCCGCAGAGAGTCTGTTGACAATGCGTGAAGCACGCACCAAAATAGCTGAGGTCAAGAAAGACCGTGGATATGGAAAGCCTGGCCAACCGGCTCCTCGTTCGACGAAGCCCCATGGCAATCAAGTCCCTCGCCAAAAGAGCACTACAAAGTGCTTCGACTGTGGTGAGATGGGACACTGGGCTGGTGATGCAGGCTGCAAGGCCCCTGGTGCTGGCCTGGCTCGACCCAAAGGAAAGCCTAAGAGCCAGATGACGAAGCAGGTCCGTGTCACCGAGACCCTGAACACTGAACATGTGGCTCCTGAAGAACCTGATGACATGGGCCACGAGGTCATGACAGTGGCCGCCGGCGATTCATGGGATCGCCCATTGTTCGAAGTCCTCATGCAACACCATACCGACCCCAAGAGCACTCCACGTCTCGCACAAGACAAGAGATTCGTTGGAGCTTGCAATAGAACATGCGCAGGTTCCTCACGGTTGGCCTTCTACCTCCAAGCCCTCGAACGTGCTCCTTCCTATATCCAGAACCTCATCATCACCACCCCCGAGAATGAGTTGTTCAGGTTTGGAAATGGTGGTACCCAAAGAAGCACCGTGAGGTACAGACTCCCTATGGCCCTGGGTTCGACTTTGGTTTTGGTGTGGGTGTCAATAGTGCCAGTGCCATCGTTGGGACTCCTTTTGGGAAGAGACTTTTTGAGCGCTATCGGTGCGGTCCTTTCGTTCGGCCGCAAGCTACTGAGAGCTGACTTGGTGGGTGGCGAACTCTTGGAGTTGGGTCAGCTGGCCGCAGGCCACTTCGCCCTTCCACTCCAGCCTCGCCAATGGCCTCGTCCGGACTCCCAACGCTGGCGGAAACTTGGACAAGACGGCATAGTTGAACTTCAGTTGAACAGTTTTGATTTTTGGAAGAAACAGTTGCAATTGAAGATGAGTCATTTTGAAGTGCCTTTTGAGTCAACCTCCGAAGCACCGCATGAGCACCTTGTGACAGAGCATGCGATCCTTGCTGCGACATCGGCCGGGGCTCAAGCTATGAAGGTGGCTCAAACACGTCCTTCAGCCCCGACGACATCCTCTTCGACGACCTTTCGAGACCTCGCAGGATCTGTGGATCGTAATGGAAGCGGCCCAGCACTTCGACCTGACCGAGAACGACTACACGAAGGTGGTGCTGCGCTGGCGGCGAATGCTTCTCCGCCTTCGCGCAAAGGCCGCTTGGCACGCACATGGCTTGCTCTTGTGGCTGTTGCCTCGTCCGCAGCTGCGGTACGCGCCCTTTCCGTACCCCAGCATCAGCCATACCAGACATTGGCAAGAACAAGCCGAATCTATGACCCTCCAGAAGCCAAAGGCATTGATGGTCAAGCACTGGCAGCGAGCTCGAATCCAAGAACCGTCAGTGTACACGACCAAGAACCTCCTGGACTTGGGACAATTCAGGAACCGTGCTGGCCTCAACTTCGCCTTCATGGAGGACAACATGTTGCAAGGAATGCTTGCGGCACGCGCCAGCAAAGGCCTGACGGCCCAATTGAAGCGGGATGCCATTCAGGAAGCCCAACTCGAAGCCGAGGCCGCTACCAAGCGTGGAGAGAAGCACGACATGGTGCGCTCCCTCATTGGCCCAAAGGGGGGCCTGCCAACGTTGAAGGCAGACCTGGTGAAACTGGCTTCACTCCTGAACATCCCCGTCCAGACTGGAATGACTGTGGAAGACCTCAAGAAAGCTTGCCGCCCCTTGGTTGCCGAGATCGCTCAAAAGCCAACTCCCTCGAAGGCAAGTGGATCTACCAGTTCAACGGAAAGACATGTCCCCGAGACGTCAATGGCGAGACCTTCTCAAGCGCCCGAGACAATTGGCGCAAAGGCCAAGGCATCTCCTGGAGTGACCGCTCAAGAGCTACAGGAAGTCCTCACCATGCAGGACCACAAGTTCCAAGGGATGCTGAACCAAGTGCTCCAGAGCATTTCGACCCTGCACCAAGCATCGCACCTGCCAGGACCTATGACTTCCGGTCTGATGGAAACCGAAGCAACCATGGACTTCGGCTGGACCCAGGACGAGATTCAACAGATGAACCGCGACTACTACCAGGACGACTTGGAGTGGCGCCAGGCCAATGGAATTCCTCCTCGCGACCAGTGAGACCGACGCTCGAGCTGGAGACGAATCCTTGGAGGATACATCAGGCGGTGAAACCTGGTCAGGCTAAAATGATTTCGGATGCTTGGGAGCGTCATGAAAGAGACCGTCGCCTTGTGTCGCTCAGTGCCAAGGAAGTGAATGAAGTCTATGAGGAGCAGTGGCATCGAGCGATGGACCACTTCCAGAACGAGATCTTTGTCACCACCCTCACCGTTGGCGATGAGAAGTCTTTTCAGTCCCATGCCATGTCTGAGAATAGGTTGATTTCAAAGAACCCCGACCTTGTTGAGAATGACCGCTTCCCCAAGACCTTTGTCACCGAGGTCTACACAAACACGGAGCGAGTTGCGCAGACGGCTCGCAAACGAGGACATCGAGTGGGAGCCTCAATGAGCTTGGAATCAGGATGGAACTTTCTCCGTCCACTGGATCGCAAAGCTGCCAGAGCCGTCCTGAAGCGTGAAAGTCCTTTCTTTTTGTTGCTGGCATTTCCTTGTTCCTTTTGGAGTGTGTTACTCAACCTCAACCCTCCGAAGAATGGCACCAAGATGTATGAGGAAGCGATCACCCTCTTGCAGTTCGCCCTCCAATTGGCCAAGGACCAGAAGAGTCGTGGTTGTCACTTTGTTTTGGAGAACCCTCAATCCTCTAGAGCATGGACCCTGGAAGAGATGCAAAGAGCCTTGGAGCAACTTGAGGCCCGTTGTGTAGTCTTCCACCAATGCCGATTCCGCTTGAAGAACCAGGCGGGTGACCTACTTCGGAAAGCTACGAGGATAGCCACTTCGAGTGATGAGGTCCTTTCCCAACTGGACGGCATGAAGTGTCTTGGCAATCACCCTCATGGTCACATCATTGGGGGAAAAGCTGTTTCAGAGCCCGCTGGCCACTATCCGTGGGCCCTCGCCAAGGCCCTGGTGGTTGGAATGGAAAAGCAATTTGAAGCTGACTTCAAAAGACCACACAACATCCTTGCCATCGAAGACGGTGAGGAGGCTGAAGATGAGACCGCCCTGCCGATTGACATGAACCTGAGTGACTCTGATCAGGAGTCCACTGAAGCTGTCACTGGACCCAAGGTGTCAGCTGCTGTGAAGCAAGCTCTTCGACGCCTACATGAAAACACGGGCCACCGATCTGGCCGTCGCCTAGCCAGAGCACTGGCTATCACTGGTGCCCCTCCGGACATCATCCATGCTGCTCGTCACCTCAAATGCTCAATTTGCGACGAGCGGAAGATCCCAAAGGCCAGACGGCCTGCTACCTTGCCACTACCCAAGGATGTGGGCGACCAGGTCCATGTGGACCTCTTTGAGATTGAAGACATTGGCAAAAAGCGCTTCTATGTGATCCATGCAATTGACTATGTCTCCAGGCTGCAGTTTGCTGAAGTTTTGGAAACAAAAAGTTCGAGCATGGTGGAGCGCTTCTTTAAGACCAAATGGCTTCCCATCCTGGGAGCACCAAGAGTCCTGATAGCAGATCAGGGCAAGGAGTTCGTGTCTGCTGAGTTTGAAGAGTTCTGCAGTTCATGGAGCATCTACCTCCACCACACCGCGGTCCAAGCCCCTTGGCAGAATGGTGTATGTGAGCGCGGTGGAGCTATCCTTAAGGGCATTCTTCGTTCGTGCATCAAGGCTCATTCGGCCTTGGGAAAAGATGATGTTGAACTTTGTCTCCAGGAGGCAGTAAGCGCCTACAACTCGGACATCAACGACGCTGGTGTCTCTCCTATGCAAGCTGCCTTTGGAAAGCAACCCCGGATGCACGGAGATTGCCTTGGTGATTTTGGTCGCCGCTTGAGTGAGCATGGACTCATCGACTCTCGGCCAAGTTTGGCCAGACAAGTTGCCATGCGAGAGACTGCTCGCTTGGCGATGGTGCGCCTTCATTTTTCCAAAGGCCTTCGACGAGCTGAACTAGCCCGCTCTCGAGGACCGACGGCAGAGCATGGCCTATCTCCTGGAGATATCGTCTACTTCTTCAGGCAAACTCGGTTCAACAACCGAACAGCTGCATCCAAGAAACGGCTCAGTCTCAAGCGATGGCATGGCCCTGCCCTCCTCGTCGCTTTGGAGGGCAATGTGAATGGATATGTGAGTTTCAGAGGACAACTGACCAAGTGCGCTATTGAGCATTTGAGACCAGCCAGCTCCCTGGAACAAGTTGCGAGTGAGGTATGGCAAGATGCCATTCAGGAAGTCATCGATGCGGCATACCATGATCGACAGATACCAACGACTTCCTCATCTACAACCACCTCGGCTGAACCCGAAGCACAGGGTGAACCAATGACGGGAGTGTCTCTACCTGTTGAACCTGTTCCTCTTTCGGCCGTACCTGAAGAAGCTCCTGCCGATCTACCACCTTTACATCCTCAAGAGTTCGTGCAAGCCCTCGGCAATGCTCAAGGTGGTCCTATCTCAAGAGGATGGTCTCGACATACTTCTTCTTTGCCAGACTTAGGTACATCTCCATTTCCTGAAGCTGTACGAGCTGCCTTTGAACAGAGACGGCAGAGCGTTTCCAGTGCCGCCCCAAGTGCTAGCGGCGAGTCACAAGCTTCCAAGAGGCCTGCTGAACTGGATGCTGAGCGCTTGCGTGAAGAAGCTCTTCAACCAGACCCTGTTGCTCCAACTCCGGCTCAACCTCCAGATGAAGTTCCTGATGAAGCTTCCGAAGCCCTGAGAGTGACTCATGAAGTGATGGAAATGGAAGCCTATGCCAATGTACATCCGCTCCGTCAGATCCAGATCATGGCGGAACAGGATCGTCTAAATCCCTTGGAAGCCAGAGTCCGAGACCATGGGACATGGCGTGGCAATTGGCCTCTCCCCTCGAGGACAGAATTCAAACGACGGCAAATGCTGAAGCAACTTTGGCCCCTTGGCAATGATGATGCTGCTCAGGAAGTGCTTGCAGTGCTCACTGCTCGTAAGGAGCATGTATGGAGTCACATGTCGGACTTTGAGAAAAAGGAGTTCCGTGAAGCAGCAGCCAAAGGATGGTCAGTATGGGTTGAAAATGAAGCCATCGAACCTCTTCCAGATGCCGAAGCTGTCCGCATTAGGCAGAAGTTGAAGACAGAAGGTGAAAGCCACCGCATCTTGGTTCCTCGCTTCGTCTATGTGGACAAGAATGACGGACTGAGGACGGCAGACCGGGACCTTCCACTCAAGGCTAACGCCAGGCTGGTCGTCCCCGGATACCAAGACATTAGTGCATATGGCCTTCGCTGTGATGCTCCAACAGCGTCGAGAACTTCTCAGCATCTTTTGCTGACCTTTGCCGCCAGTATGAAGTGGAAGCTGGCAAGTGCTGACATCAAGTCGGCATTCATGAAAGGTGAAGAGTTTGGCCCCAATGAACGCATCCTCTACCTCGCCAACGTGAAGACCAGAGCACCTGATGAGCCACGCCTACCATTCTCTGAAGCAGGCTTATGCCGTGTGAAAAAGGGAGTATTTGGCTTAGCTGACAGCCCTCGTCGTTGGTATAAGAGGTTATGCAAGTCAGTACAACACCATGGTTGGCAACTTTCAGCTCTGGATTCGGCCATGTGGTTCCTGTGGGAAGGCTCCAAATTGGAAGGCATCCTCATCTCCCACGTGGATGACTTGCTACTGGCCGGAGGCCCTCGTGCGCACCACACCTTGCAATTGCTGGGTGCCGAACTTGGGTTTGGTTCCACCTCCACCGGAACCATAACCTATTGTGGAAAGAAGATTGAGCAAGCTGAAGATTTTTCAGTGAAAGTTTCCATGGAAGAGTACCATAGCAATCTTCAGCAGGTGCGCATCAACCCACTTCGAAAGAAGAATCCAGAAGCTACTTTGATGCCTGGGGAACAACGCCAGCTCAGAGCTCTCCTTGGGAGTTTGCAGTGGCTGGTAGCGCAAGTTCGCTTTGACTTGCAATTTCAGTTGTCGACATTGCAGGGTGCTTCCCAGACCATCGAGACGTTGATCCGTGCCAACGCCTTAGTTAGAAAGGCAAAGCTCCACGCAGACTTCGCTCTGCACTTCAAGCCCTTGGACATGAAGAATGCTGGGATCCTCGTTGTTTCTGATGCCTCGCTTGGCAATGTGACGAAAAGCGGTAGTTCCCACGAAGCAGCCATCAAGAAGGTCTATAGTCAAGCCGCCGACTTTGTCCTCATTGCTGACGAAAACCTCATGAGCGGCAGAGAAGGCAAGTTCACAGTGTTGGACGCCCGGTCTCATAGACTGAACCGGGTATGCAGATCGACATTTGCCGCAGAGTTGCTGGGCATTGAGGAGGCGCTGGATGCCGGGCAATATTGCCGCGGCGTGCTTGGCGAAGCTTTCGGTCATCCACTCGACCGGAAGCCCTTTGACCTTAGCACGGATTCCGTGCCCCTGTTGGTTGTCACCGACGCCAAGGATGCATTCGACAAATCCTGCTCAGAAACGCCGAGCTATGGCAGCCAAAAGAGTTTAGCTTTCACCATAAGCTGGATTCGTTCAATGCTGGCTCGATGCAACACGAGCATGCGTTGGACAGCAACAGAGAACATGATCGTAGACTCCGGCACTAAGGAGCTTGACCCTCAACACCTTCACAAGATCCTGAGAGATTGCAAGTGGTGTGTACAGTTTTCCTCCCAGTACGTCAAACAGACGTCCAAAAGTAAGAAGCCCATGGCTAACTCACAACAGACCGGAAGGGTGGTGAGAAGTGACATGGGAGTCCCTTTTGAAAGCTCCTCCCCGTTGTTTGGCCATGTGATGAAGCTCTCACAGAGCTCAGGTTGGCATGTTTTGAATGAAGATTTGGCCGTCAACGTGTGCCGTCAGGCTCGTTCGTACAGGACCCCAGAGCCACGCTGTTCAAGAACGACGCATGCGTTTCGTTCCACTTTTGCCCGCTTTGACAGCGAACATAGTGTGATTTGGCGACAGTTGGAAGACTCTGTCGACATGCGAGAGCTCCAGAATCCTCGATCGATGCTTGAGGAGCCTGTTGCTTTGCTCGTGACCGCGTTCAGCCGTTGCCCAACCCCTCAAATGCCACAAGAGAAGGGGATGAACTGTGAAAGTTGAGTTTGCTCTTCGGTGTTGGGCAGGCGGAGGAACATGGTTGTTCATGTTCGCTTGGATCAAGGCCTGAAGCCATTTCGTGCTGCGCCTTAGGTGAAAACGGCGCGCTGGCAGACGCTCTTGCTAGTGCGTCTACAATATGAAAAGGTGGACTTAAGAAGAAGAAGAAGAAGAAAAGAAGAAGAAGAAGAATACGAAGACACGTGTTTACCATCAGGAAAAAGGAACCGGCTAGTAATGAGAAGTGAGAACCAACGCGTTAATATGGGAAGGATGTCTTAAGAACACATTTTTCACCTAACAAGAAGAACAACGGGAAGGGAAGAGAAGAGAAGAGGGAAAAAACAACATAAGGATAAGAGTGGAAAATTATAGAAGTGGAAAAACGGAAGAAGAAACGAAAGTGTTGGTCACAATAGAACAGAGAAGAGAAAAGAAGAGGAGAGAAAACTCAAGAAGAAGCAAGATGATAAAATCGGAAAGCGGAAGAAGGCACAATAGACCAGTCAGACAAGGACACTCGGGGACATTCTGGAGTGTCCCTTTGTGTCCTTGAGTGTCCCGCTCAATTTTCTCCCGGGATTGCACCTCGTCTGAAATTACACGCCTCAGCAGGCCCCGTGCGTGTTTTGCATTTTTTGCATACATCAACATCAGCCATATTATGTTGTGTTGAGGGGGGTTCAGGGGTGACATGGTACAGTCGTTTGGTTTTGACCTTGATGATTGTGCAGGGCAGTGGCCTTCACAGCTTCCTGTGCCGCCATTTGCGCCAGCTTCTCGAGAAGGCTCTCCAGCTCAGTGAGCTCTTTCAGCAGCACCTCACCTCGCAAACCTTGAAAAACACATTTCCTGCAGGCGACTACCATCAGGTTACCGATCATCATGAATGGCATGCGTACATGCCATGAATCATGCATGACTGAGAATCTAACAGGCCCCCGTGCGTGTCATGGTACAGACGTTTGGTTTTGACCTTGATGATTGTGCAGGGCAGTGGCCTTCACAGCTTCCTGTGCCGCCATTTGCGCCAGCTTCTCGAGAAGGCTCTCCAGCTCAGTGAGCTCTTTCAGCAGCACCGCACCTCGCAAACCTTGAAAACCACATTTCCTGCAGGCGACTACCATTAGGTTACTGATCATCATGAATGGCATGCGTACATGCCATGAACCATGCATGACTAAAATCTAAGAACAAACAGAAGCAACCAAATGTCTTCGCAAACCCCGTGCTTGTTTCGTTTTTTACATAGATACTGTTATATACTATTACTAAAACTAAGGCTATTATTATTACTACCACTACCACTACCACTACCACTACCACTACCACTACCACTACCAC